TCACAGAGGGTGAAAAATGAAATGGTGAGTAGTTTTTTCCGCCATAAAAACTCATTATGTATGTTCACCCCCCCCCCCCATCAGTGTCCAACATGTTATCCTTTGCATCTCTAATCCGAGCTGCTGTCCTCTGTCTCACAATGTTGCTGTTAAAGTGAGTTTGGTTTATTTTATTTTTATATGGAGTTCCCATCATGCTCCACTCCCTCTGTGGTTCCAGCGCGGCTGGCCAAATGGCAATAAAATGCTCAAAGGACATCAGAGAGGGAGAAGGAGACCTATTTGTTAGCCTAACAGAGTCTCCAGTGGTTAAAGAGGGCCGTCAACATGTGAGAGGAAGGGACAACGCTCTGCTTCAGTGATGCTGTGAGGGGTAAGACAAGTGGCCGAACAACAGCCACGGAGAAGCCTCTAACCAGAGTTCGGGTCAAAAGACTGAATTCTGACGTCTTAATTTATGTTGTGGGACGCTTCTTTTTTTTGTAAACAAGGTCAATTTAAACTCAAAGTTCTGAAAACATCCTCTGTTCAAGAAAATAGAGTCAACAAATAAAAAAAACAAGAACATAACTCAAATAAAAGCAGCAATAAAAAAAAAAAGCATGCAAACTCATCATAAAAACTCTTTCAACTGCTGTGTTGGCTCAAATGATGGCTTCAAACTGCGAGTGGAATGAGTGAGTCTATGTTGAGATTTTCCTTCAGCGTTTCCATTTGGATGTGAAGTGAATGAAAACTGAAAGCAGATTTTCCTCGTTTTATTGTGGTGAATGGGACTTTGAAAAGTAAACAGTCCTGACAAATCTACGTTAATGTCTAACCTCTGTCTCGCTGTCTCACTTATGTCCACAAAGAAGACTTCTTTTATGAAACTGACAGACTGTACAGTATGTGTTTTATATATTGGTCCAGTCTGTCACCTGAGATACAACAGAAAGCTTCAAGACAGAGGGTGATATCACAGGCATGGATCAAATACTGTATGTATGTCATAGTGTAGCATCTTATGTCAATCTAAAATAGGCGTAAAAAGTAGAAGAACTAGAAGTAGAGCTCAGCTAATTAAGCAATACTGTATGTGTCAATACATGTTACAAAGTACTACTCAAGAAAAGTAATAAGATACAGCTGCCATTACTATGTTTCTGTTTCCGTCAACAAATCCCCCCAAAAAATCAACAATGCGATTAGATGTAAATCTCTAGAAACAGGGCAAAAATACCTACTTTTAGTTTTGAATAAACTCTAAATATGTTCCTTAAACTGCTAGGAACTGTAGTTATTAGCAAATGTTGTTTAACCGTTACTAAAACGTGCTTTTTGGGACTATTTTCAGTCATGGTTTTGGCGTTTCTTTAAAGTATTTAAGACAGTGTATGTGTCAGTGACTCAAAATGAACAACATTGCCCATGTACATCATACTGAAGGCACATTACAGCCAGTACAACTCTGTCCCTCACTGATCACTGTCACTGATGGTTTTTTGATAGTTTTAACCATAGGTTGTGTCAGGCTTTGGCAACACGGAAAATGCTTGTAGAATCAATTACTTGTTGGATTTGGTCCTTTTTTTACAAGACATATATAGGATATTACTGAACCAGACTTTTTCAGATTCAGTTATTAAGAAGAATACCAAGTATAACTCATTTGAACTGGTCATAGATGAGCTCAGTTCATAGTATATGTGTGTAAGTATATAGAGCCTATATTGAATATTGCCTTTTCTTAAGAGATATTGTGAATGGGGGAAATAGAGTGATATAATGGACATTCTTTTCTCGACCTGACCTGTCTGCAAGTCTTCAGAATTATGAAATATCTTCATTTCAGTTCTGCGTTTAGTTTACGATGAGGAAAGTTTGGTCTCTGCTCAGTGACCGGGTCGTAGTCTGGGTCATCGATCCTTATCTCTGGAGTTTAAACCACTGTAAGAGCCCACATTAATCTGCAGACACTTGGTGAAACTGGCCTTAAGCTCCCTCTCCTCTGTCCTGCCTCCCCCTCACTGCACTGGCAGCCTTGCCCGAGAATAGGCATGTAAACCATGGAGGCCTGACACCAGTTGTTTTGACTGAGAGCACTGAGGCACTGACTGATTGTGAAACACAGGGCAGAGCCTTTAGCCTCACAAGCTGTAACGATGAAATCCCCGCTGTAAACTCAGCCCTCCCACTTCCAGAACGGACCTTTTCCAGGATGGAATTTGGAAGAATTTCTCCTATGAAAGGTGCAGTTTATCATATCAGAACATTCTCATACACACAGCGGAGAGGGTGTTCCTCAGCATTGTTACAGTGAGTCTGAGGAGTCCACACCCATTAGAGTCAACTTGGTACTTCTGATCGTTTTGAGAAGGCTTAAAGAGCCGTATCAGTGATGTGAATGAACAAACAACGCTCTAATCACCACTTTAATCACACTTCGTTTCCCATTAAAAGTCAATATTAAATAAAGCCTCTAAATAGTCTCACATTGGCACTCAGGTTGTGTAAACTAAGTAGCACTTCACATATTGTCTAAGTAGTATAACAAGGGCTGTTAACGAAATACAGTTCAAATAAAGCTTGAACCAGATGTGGTTCACCAAAGACATTTCACAAACATTTAACCCATACTAGCTAAATGTCTGACACTAAATGTTAATGACAGAATAGCTGTACTTTCTATTACTTTAAAGCCAATGTTTGACGAGGCATGCTCACACACTAAATGTATATATTGTACATGGCAAAAGATATAATCGCTTAACATCAGGATGGTAGCATTGTCATTGTGTACCAGGTTTAAAGCAGCACAATGAAACACAGAGCAAGAGCAAGGAATTCAAATGAATACCAAGTACTAATGTACAAGAGTGCAAATGTGTACAAGGGAACTGCAAAGTGTGTACAAGGGAACTGCAAAGAATGCTATTAGACATATTAATGGGGTGGGAGGATTGGATGAGGATTCTTCTAGGAAACAATGTCCAAGCTGAAACTCCTTCAGGGGTGGGGTCCTGGCAGTCCAATGTGCATTAGATCTGCCTGTTATAAATGTCCAAGAAGTTCGCCTGAACCTCAGACAAATCATACTTGCTATCTTCATAAGACTATCAAGTCTGTTGTAACAAATGCTGCCAAACATGACGTAAGGCTGCAGACCCTTTTTAGCATCCATACATGTTAGAAAATGATCTAACTAACGTGCTACAGAAATACACAGATGCCCTTTGAAGCGGTTTAACAGAGTATTTGTGTTGCTGAAGCTTTTACATGTGACCTTTTTCCCATGTCATACAGTATCTTGGTCCAGTTTTGCACACACCAGCAGCTGAGAATAAGATGTGTAGTTATTTGTGTGTTCTCTGTCTGGCTTCATGCATGTATTCGTGCTACTTTTGTCAGTGAACGCAGCAGGGCGTGTCATCATAACCACTGCATGCTTGTTACATTAACACACAAACTGAAAAAAAGAAAAGAAATCATGCCATACTTCCATTTCAGACTATATTATAATTAGATTCAAATGTTCCCTTCTTTGTATTACACTCTGTTTTACTGCTGTGACTTAGTATCTGATGCTATGTGACGCTAAAAACATAGGCGAATTATGTATTTGCGTGACGCTTAGACAGACATGATAAAATGTTCCAGATGGAGATGTGCGAAGGGGAGAAACCGATCTTCCCACCAGGGCCACAAGTCTGCCTTTTTGATCAGGCCTCATTTGTTTCTAAACTACACTTCTGATTAAAACAGCTTGACTGGGAACTGTTTCTGACATTTGAGGGAATCCTTGGGAGATTTAGAGAACAAGGGTTAGGATACTGAGCCCTAAGCACACTTGTATTTTGTTGGTGTGGTTTTAAACCTTCCCAAATTATCCCCTCACAATTCTTTTACCACCCAGATAATGATTCATTACAGTTGCAAAGCTCCACATAGGGATTTAACAACATTTGATTCCAGTAAAGCCCAGCCTGCAAGCCTTGCCAATAAACAAACATACTGTAATTAGGCTACTTAAAACCCAAAAGTTGGACTTCTCAATGCTTAAGCATCATGGTGGTCTTGATCAGAGGTAATATAGGGCAGGGGCGGACTGGGACTAAAAATCAGCCCGGGCATCTCGACCGGCTCACTTCGGTACCGCTAGTAAATTGTCAACGGGGGGGGGCCGGTGTGACTTATCCGACCGGCCCACTTCGGTACCGCTAGTAACCGGTACCGTCCGCCACTGATATAGGGATACTGACTTGTTTAAGTGAGGGAGATGTGCTTTTATTAAGTTTCAGCCATAATAATATATAAACATATATTGGCTGGATTGCCATTAAATGTTGTACAGACATGGTTATAAGACGATGTATCCAAATACCTGTGCTGCTTCTCTAACATTTCCTTAAGAGCCATAATGAAGAGACACATTAGTCTTCTGAAATGTCTCAAACGTGATGAACAATAGCTTTTTAATTGAACTGTTTTAGTTTTTATTAAAATTATAGTTATTTTATGTGTTTACATGTCTGAAAGGGATATTTTATGTGTCAAAGCATCATAATTAGGTTTGTTGCCAAGTATATTTGGAGATACATGGCATTTGTCTTCGTGTTGATGTATAACAACAAGATAATTGCAGAAGTCAAGAGACATAACATATTATAGAAACATTTACAATATAAAATATGAAAATAATAAAGCAAGTAGGTAAAAATTGATGTTTTGAAAGCGGTAGAGTTGTACGTTTTTGTGCAGGAATGTGAAATATTCTGACCAAGGGATGTGGAAAAGTTGTGTATAAGTTGTAAAAGTATAAAAATATAAAATGAACTGCGGTATGGTTTCTTGTGTGAGTCTATAGGGCAACAGACGTTTCCCTTCAGCTCAAAGAAATCCTCAGTGTTTACATCCTGAGAGAAAAAAGAAAAACTCGGGCCAGCCTAAATGCAATATCCTGAGCAGCTCCTGCACACAAGGGGGCCTGACTCCTGCAGAAACCTGATCCGCATTGGGCCCTTTAAAGGAATATGGGATGAGTCTGTTGAATGGAGCTCAGAGTGAAGTCTGCACAGAAAGCGAAGGACGAGCAGCAGCGGGACGGAGGTTGGACACAAGACATGAAACCCTGAGAGGAAGATAAATGAATGAGCCATGAGAGCGGAGAGAAAGTCGACGGAGTGAAGAGGAAGTTATGAGCCGAATTGCGACGAATTACCGGGGAAGGTGTCTGTGAAAGCCGAGTGAAGGGGGAGGAAGAGACAACAAAGTCACAAGGTAAAGTTTCTGTGAAGGACTTCGCTGCTGTGGAGCCCATTTATCTCTTCTTCGCTTCTTCCGTATCGCGCACTCATTTAATGCAGATGCGGAGGCATACATTTAACGTAGACGCGGGAGTTTGTTTGGGACTAAAGTCGCTGTGTTTTCAGAGATGTCTGAAGCCGGGTTGAGTTTTTTTTTTTGCTGACTGACGGTTTTACGGTTGCTACTTTCCTTCTAAGCGTCTAGCTAGCACACCTGTTCCTTGTGGCCTTTTTTGGACAAAAATACTGTCCACTGTTTGCCCTTGGGGTAGCTCCACAAGCATATTAAAGCTTAATCACAGCTATAAAAACCCACAAAGAAGCACTATTCTTTGTTGCTTTTTTGAGGAAACTCTGCTTCTTTATAAGTGCCACACATGCACTTTGTATCAGTATGTGCATCTGGATAAATGCTTCTGCTCCATACATCACCCTGAGCCCTCCAGCAGCAGCAGCTATGGCTATTACTGAACACCTACCCGAGCTAAATCATGAACAGAAGATATACTCTGTCCCACAATGTATGGTTAGGGCTGTCTCTTACTATAACTCATGCAAACAAAGCCTTTCTCCAGCCCTGAAGTGCTACAGGAGAAGCAAGGCTCTTGAGCGAGAGAGTGTGTGTGTGTGTGTGTGTGTGTGTGTGTGTGTGGTGTGTGTGTGTGTGTGTGTGTGTGTGTGTGTGTGTGTGTGTGTGTGTGTGTGTGTGTGTGTGTGTGTGTGTGTGTGTGTGTGTGTGTGTGTGTGTGTGTGTGTGTGTGTGTGTGTGTGTGTGTGTGTGTGTGTGTGTGTGTGTGTGTGTGTGTGTGTGTGTGTGTGTGTGTGTGTGTGTGTGTGTGTGTGTGTGTGTGTGTGTGTAGGACAGGACAGGACAATTGCAGAGGTAGATGTTTACACCTCAGCACTGAAGAATGTCAGAGCCTGTATTTAAGGCTGGGACTGATAATGAGTGTGGTCAGTTTGTCGAGGCCTGTCATTAACCTGAGCTGGGAGAAAGAGCTGCTCTCTGGCAAAGGTAGGAGGAGAGGATGTGGAGGAAGGGAGGAAGGTGGCGGGTGGGAAAGGTGCTGCAGGAGGAGAGGGAAGGAGCGCAGAGGGATGGAAAGTGAGAGGGAAGGAGGAGGGGAGGAGAGACACATAGAAAGAAGATAAGATATAAGGTGATATATGGCAGGCGGATAAACAGTAGACTGTCAGTGCTCTGTAGTGTTTTATTAAGCTTTTGGGGGGGTTTCCCTTTGCTGTATGTGTGTTATATACAGGCAGTATGAGAAAAATAAAGCACGGAAACATGTCACAGTAGAGGCACAAAATACAATTTTGAAAAGGAGCATAATAGGGCCCCTTTAATGTCTGATTTTGAGTCATTACTCCATTTGAATCTGAATTATTACAAGTTATCAATCAAAGCAGGGAAAACACTGTTATTATCAAGTTTTAAACACTAGTTTTCCAAGAATAGGATCAAAGGTTAACAAATGTATATCTGCTTTGCCGATTCCCCCCTCTCCTTTATTTATAGGTATACATCCCAGCTGCACCAAAATAGTGAGGCACTAATTCAAACAAAAGTGTGAGGCCTATTTCATCGGATGGGAGTCGACAGAGGTCCTCTTTGTTAAACATACGGGGCCGCGGAGGAGAAGATAAGGCAATATTTAACGCACCCATACTTGACTCCTCGTGCTCTCAGATAATCTGTCTTTGTCTGCTTTCATACACACAGCGATCTGACACAACTGACCTAGATTTTCACACATGCTCCTGTGCTGTTTGATGGGAATCTTTTTTTTTTAATATATTTGACGGGGTGTGTGTATGTAGGGGGGGGGATTCCAAAACATAGTGGAGCCAAGTTGGACCTCAGAAAAGACAACAACAGCGGGAATTTGAAATGTCTGGTGGGGATGATATCACTGAACCACCTAATCACTTACATCACCGCAGCTGTATGCTCAGCACTGTGTCAGTGTGTGTGTGTGTGTGTGTGTGTGTGTGTGTGTGCACATGTGTCTGTTTCCAATCTATTTCAGTGTGTATCTCCATCTGTGTCTGTCTAAACTCTTGTAAGCAGTCTCTGAAGAGTTACGACGAGCGTGTGTGGAGGTTGTAGTCAATGTAAGGACTGACTTGAGACTTGCACCCGTGTGTCTTGCATCCTCTGAATAAAGGTGCTTTTGCAACACCCAGACAGACAGAAACGCTGCATATAACAATCTCTGATAGCTCCCACATTTTGAATAAAAACTCTCCTCTCTGGATATCAAATCTCGCTCAGTCTGAGGAATAATGCAGTATAACTGTCAGTGTAGTCAATGGAAAGCAGTTTTCGGTGATGGCAGCTGTAGAAACGAGCCTGCTGGGATGGCTGCGGTGGCGTTTCCATTCAGTCGTCCTCCCGAGTGTTTGCTCTGGCCGCGGAAATGTGTAAAGTCTCGCAGCTAGATGGAAGTACAGAAGCTCCAAGGGCCTTCGTGTCTGTCTGTCTGTCCGCAGCCAGGAGAGGATCCACCATTCTGGGCTGGACATCTCTCTCTGGGTGGCCTGGGTGTTACCAAACATGGATCTAGCATGCAGATCCCGGAAAGCTTGTTAGTGTTGTTGGCTTTCTTTTCCCCCCATCACATGAATATTTCCAGTATCTGCGTGATATGTCAGAGAGAGAAGATACTGCAGGAGCAAGCAGTACTTATCAGATCGTATATATCATCAGACTCGGTGGAAAATTGTCTTCTTGCGTTTCTATAAACCATTCCACAATGGAGGGTTACACTCGTGCAAACGGAGAAAATGACTTCAGCTGAAATGTCAGCTGTAACAAAAGCTACATTACTCCCACACACACACACACACACACACACACACACACACACACACACACACACACACACACACAGACACACACACAGTGAAGATTACCTCATTCTGGTGATGATGTGGTGTTGATTTGATTCTAATGCACGCTGATGCAGAGAGGACTTGTTGCCTTTTGTAACCTCTGCTTATCCTGCTCAGTAGAGAGGTAAACTTTACACTTCAGTTGGGTTTTTGGCACTGGTTGGCATGATCTAAAACAACCTCTGCTATGTCCAACAGGCAAACAGTGCTAAATGAGTTGTTCCTGGGAGAATTAGCATGGCAGTGCTGAGAGTTTTACCACCCAATGGCTTGTTTGCACCAAGCTGTTAGCTCCTGGAGGAAAGCCTGGCCTCTTCTGTCCTTGCTTTCCCCTCTGCGGCAGAATCAAGCGTCCTGGTTTCCCCTCTTCCCAACCCCGACATACGACTTTACTTGACCTCCATACCCTGGTGTCTGTCCCGGAAAGAGAGAGGGAGAACCTTGACTGTCCGGCCTGCGTACAGCGGTCGGCTGGTGAAACCTCCACAGGCATGACTTCTGTAATTTGTTTGCTAAGCCTGTATTTATGAGCATGCTAATTGTAGGGAGTGCCATGCTGCAGTTATGGTTGCTGGACTTTGAACGTCTGCTGCTGTGCTGACGCTGTCTGGCTGCGCTTTGAGTCTGTGTTTGAATACTGCTTAACTTTTTCAGATATTTTTCATTCTATTCATTCCACTACATTTGGAGGTGACTGTTGTACTTTTTATTACTTTATTTGATAGCTTCAAGTGAGTAGTTAGCTAAAATAGTAGCTAAAATAAAAAGTGAACTGATAAATAAACATTGACATATGGTTATAGGTAAAGATATCCAGCAGCAGTATATAAAGTTATTAAAACGAGCTCCACCTTTACCAGCTGTGTTGAGACACTTTAATGCATCAAAAATCACAATACAGTCATTTTATTCATATATATTATCACGTAGACCATAACACAATGATTTTTGATGCCAATACTGCCGGTACTTTTACCTAAGTAAGATTTTGAATGTATTTTCACAATTGGTTATTGCTACTAAGTATATTACTATAATACTAAGTAGTACTTCTGTTCCTCTGTTCACTTAGCTGAAGCTTTTATCCAAAGCGACTTGAAAAAAGTGCAATACGACCTCAAAACAGCAGTAGTGCGAGTGCTTTCAATAAGCCAAACCTTAGTTCATGATCTAAACCTGAGTGCTAAAGAGAGAAATTTGAAGTTTAGTTGTTTTTTTGGGTGGATTTCAGTCTGTGATGGAAGATGTGTTGCCTAGCTGATGTCCTGATATGTTTTAAACCTATACTTTACACTTAATTTATGTAGTGTCAGTACTTAAAGAACTGCAAGATGTCACTCAAATCTCACACATCACTGCGCTCCTGTGAGATATAAGCCCAAAGCCTCATTTTATCTGAGGATAATCAAACTTTCATTGAGTTCACACAGTTGGGCCTTAACCTTTGTGAATGCGAGAAAAATAGCCACTAGTCAGCCCTCCTCAGGTAAAAATAACCTCGGCGCCCCAGTTTCCCACATTCAGCACTCGGTCCATTCATCCTCACACATTCTTTCCTCCTTTCTTTGCCGAGGCGAACGGACACCCCCCCCTCCTGTGTGGCTGTGATGGGACTGTCACGCAGAAAGACACTATTGTTCTGCGCAGGATCCCGTTTCACTCCTGCCTTGTAATTAAGAAGGGATTGCTTGGCTGGAGAGTTGTGGGTGGGGAGGGGCGAGAGACCAGGGGATTGGGTTAGTAGGTAATTTGGCTAAAAAGCAGAGCGCTGACCTGCTTTGGAGCTGGCCTGGGAGCCGGCACGCATGAACCCAACTCCCCCACTGACACTGAGCCTCCCTGCTGGGGTTTTGTTCAGTGTGTGTGGGCATGCGGAGAGACAGCAGAGGAAAAAGGAAAGAAAGATTTTGGCAGCAGAGTCCGCTCAAAACTGTGTGTTTGTTCCTGTGCACATGTGAATGTATGATTGTTTCTTTGTGGTTGAATGTCACATAGCAAAACAGAAAGTAAGAGGAAGCTTTCATTAAACTTTATAGACTCATCGTTGCTTGACTCACATGACCCCAGTGAATCATGGGAAGTGCGGTCAACAAAAGGCATTTAAAGAGGTTGAATCACTTTCTCTCGTCTTGAGCTGTAAATTAAAACACAAGCTGGACTACTTAAGTCAAAATAAAACGTTCACAAGATTATTTGTGTGTCCTGTGTGGGCTGAGAGGAGCTGAACAGAAAGAGATCTAGATTCAAGGTAAATGTGATAGTTATTAGTTTCACAATAGTTAATACCATACACCCCTGACAACAAACTCACGTCGGTCACACCATATATGACCCTTATTCAAATATGTAAGTTCAGCTACTTTGAGATTTTATTTGTACTTTACTTACATTTAAGTTCCTGTTATCCTTGTGTGAACACTTATCCAGTCTTATTCTGTTTTTCGTTCTTATCTTATTTGCTCTTATCTTTTTTATATCTTATGGTTTTTTTTCTGTCTTCCAGTGCAGTCAGGAGGCAGATTTTCTGAGTCCTCGCCATGGCCGACGTGCTGGAGAGCGGCGGGGGTCCGGGGGCCGTCAGAGTGGCCAGCGTGGATTGGCAGAAGCGCTGCATGGCTCTGGAGATGCAGCTGCTGAGGTTCAGACTGCAGGCGGGGAAAATACGAGAGCTGCTGGCAGAGAAGGTAAGAGAGAAAGTAGAAACTCCAAACTTCAGCTGCACAAACTCTTTAAAAGTTAGTCTAGTTATAAGGTTTTTACTGTGGGGAGATGTACAGAGTCGCACTACACAAACTAGTTCTTATATAAAACTGAGTTACTGCTTAATATTTACATCTATAAACTCCCACGTGTAACTATTGTGTAAGCCAGGGGAGTCAAACTCAATTTCATCGCGGGCCACATTAGCATTATGGCTGCACTCAAAGGGCCGGTTGTAACTTTAAGACTATATAAAAATACATATATAAATATATCATATATAAAATAATGTATTATATTACATTATTTTCCTCTGCATTGGATTATTATCGGATAGGGTAATAACTTCCTAATTAACTACGTCTGAAAGCAGAAGTCTAGGGGAAATAATTGCAAGTCTCTTCAGTGAGAATGTCACAAAATGATTTAAAAAGAAAAGCCAAATTCTGGAAAAAAAGTCAAAATCAAAAAAAAAAGTGAAATTTTGAAAAAAAGAACTGACATTTTTTTTTTTTAAGTGAAATTTGGGGGGGAAAAGTGACATTTTGAAAAAAAAGTAACATTTACAAAAACAATTCTAAGAAAAAAGGCATATTTAGAAGAAAAAAAGTCAAATTCTGAGAAAAAAAGTCAAATTTGAGATGCATTGTGGGACATGTAGTTTATGGGCAACGTGCTTCTGTAAATCGGCATGTAACCATATAATAAACATATTATTCTTTGCAAGCTCTTGTGGGGCCACAGAAAATGAAGTCACGGGCCGGATTTGGCCCCCTGGCCTTGAGTTTGACACCCCTGGTGTAAGCTAAATGAGCTAGCTTAATTGATAAAACTACCCTTTAAGAAAATATGACATGGAACATGGGGGATATATCTGACCTAAAACATAATCAAAATACTGTATTACAATAAAACATGGCAAGATTTAAATATATATTCTATAGAAATCAAACGATATAACTTGTTTTACAACACATGGGGTCAATTAGGTTATCATAATTGAATATTTTTTACTACTAACTCTGAAAACAGAGAGTTTTATATTTCATTTGCCCTAAAACTGGAGATTGTGAGGCTATGGTGACCTTTGGTTTATACTGTTGGAGTTTTTGTTTCCAGTGGGCCAGTAACATCCCAAAATGTTACTAATAGTCAGGTCTGAAAAAAGACTGAAGACAATGTGCTCAAGCATACAAACCTCAGTCTGCACTTTCTTTTTCCATATATTTCATCTGGAGCATTTAAAGTCTGTATTCAAAAGCAATAGTGGAGAGATAACAGGAAATGAGGGAAAGAGAAGCAGCCAAGGTCAAACCAGGGCTCTGCCGTTCATGATCTAAACCCGAGGGCTTCCAATATTTCATCACCAGTTTGAAACTTACATATATTTAATGAAGCAAACCAGTCCCAAGGAGAGTAGATCACAACTTACTGTAACTGAACATGTTTAAATATCAAGTGTAGGAAGAGCAGTTCAGATTGAATTTGACTCAGAAACTACGCCCAGCTCCTCTTGGATGAACATGACATTCCCCAAACAGAAGGGAAATGCAGTTTGTCCAAAGAGTACTGAGTCCAGTTTGCAGATGTTCCAAAAACCTGAGCTTTGTCTCTAATCAGAGAAACGTAAAATGTGCTTTTGATCTCATCTTTCACATCACTACCAAGAGGAAAAGACTGGAACTGAGAGTCACAACAAAGATTGACCAGTACATTTAAAGCTGGGGTAGGTAAGTTTGAGAAACCGGCTCGAGATACACTTTTTGTTATATTCCATGGAATGCTCTTAACATCCCGATAGCAATGAATATCTTAAGTGCTTTGACAAAAAATCCATCAAAAAATGTCATCTGTGGAAGCCGTAGCGCTGTAAAAAGCACGACCAATCATGGATGATCTACCTGCCTGTCAGCCTTCCATCTGTGCACAAACTTATCTCGTGCCCTCATTGGTCATGTGCGCGTTCGTGTGTGTTGGAAGAGGGGCTCTGTAAGGAAGTCTGAAGGAAGTGGCAGATTTTTTCCGGTTGTGTATTTTCAAATTCTAGCGATCTCGAGCTGGTTTCTCCAAAATTACCTACCCCACCTTTAATGTTTCTATAAAAGACAACTATTACATCTGTTGGGTTTATCATCAAACACTTAAAGTGGACCTATCATGCTATATTTAAATGATATATTGTAGGGCCATACCTATATAAGGTATATTTATACGTTTCTGTTTTCAAAATACCAAACAGATCATGCATTTTAGCCATGCCTCATTTCGCTCTATGTGCTGTTTGCTGTCTACGGGGCTGATTCTGCTGACCACGCCCCCCTGCAGGAGAGGGGAGACGTGCTCTGATCAGCTGCTGGGCTGTCAGAAGAGGGGGAGAAAAAGAGATCTCCGTCCTCCGTGTTTTATTATATAGAGTCGTTATTCATTTGTTTTAAAGCTCAATAAATAACAAAGAAGACCTTTGACCGGCACTTTTCTAATTTTGTCCGGAAGATTTAAACTTTAACGGACATCTTGATCGGCGAAAGAAACTGAAACTGAAACTCTGCCGCACGGTCCCCTCGTTCCTTGGAAGAGGCGGAGAGGTGGGTGTTTGTCATCTGCTGGTGGACTAACCGGAGAGAATTACAGTGCTTGCCTCGACGGGGAGGGATTGCATTGAATTAAAGCAGCGGGAGCAAACGCTTGCCTCGGGGAGGGAGAAAAAAAGCCACAGCGGAGAATAAACAGAAGGGTAACCATGGTAACTATGGGCGGGAAGTCTTCTTTGCTGCTTTTGTGGCAGACTACAGCGCCACTTACAGGCCTGGCATATATACTACAGCGTCTCCAGCGCTTTGGAGCGGCAATGGCCGGCCGTGGCCCAACCCTACATTCCCCTGATAGGTGGAGAGTTGGCCCAATAGCCATAGCGCCACTTCTGTGACGACATAGAAGTGTTCAAATCTGGATCAGTTTTTATCAGATCCGTTGCAGCCCCTTTTTTAGAGATTTGGGTATGGAGGAAAATAGAGAGGGTTGTGTTTTCTGACACTTGGTGAGTTCCCTGGAACACCGGGGACACATATTCATGTATAAAAGACGTACAAAAGTGCATTTTGCATGATAGGTCCCCTTTAAATGCATAGATAGAAGGTTCAGAGAGCTAAGAGTTATCTGGATTTTGAGGAACATTTAGCTTGTTTGTTGACCTAACCTACAGCACGTACCAATGATTTGGCCTTAATAATGCTTAAATGTTTAAGCGTGCCGTGGTATTGTAAAGATTAGTCATGCCGTTCCACTCTCATCTGCAAAACAATCCATGCCACAATCAACAACACTCTGGCCAAACACTGTGCAGGCCTCGCTGCCTCATCATCCCCTTCTCCTTCTGGCATTGTTTTTAAGTGTTTTACGCACGAGAACACGATTAAAGCATGTGAATCAGTCAGAATTACAGGTGTGGATGACTGTGTGTTTATGTGTGTGCGTAAAGACAGATGGGATTACTCTGCGTATTTGGTAAACATTTTTGCTCCACTCATTCTGTGTCATCAGAGTTTGGCTACAGTTTGAGCCAAGAGGAATATTTAACTCATCAGTGATGGTGCTTAAATTAAGGTTTTAAATTAAAGGTGCGGCTGTTGTAAAGTCGGACTACCAGACATTTTGGAAAGTAATCAGCTGTCATCAATACATCAGCTCTGCTCTGGCGATTTGTCGGTAAAAGAGTGGAAGTGTTTGGATTAGAGGAAGGAGTGAGTTTAGTTGCAGAAAAACAAATCTCTTGTGTCAGTTTTTTCATATGTTCTTTATAAACTTGTATATCTCGGAGCTGATTTTGTTTGCAGCGTCAGAGTGTTTTAGATTTCTGCTTCATCTCTGGTTCATGCAGTCGGTCAGCCGGATGTTTACGGTCCAAACATAACAAATGTGTCTGATAAGAGCAGGACGACTCCCTGCTGTGTCCTCTTGTCAGGTCCAGTCAGACACACACACACACACACACACACACACACACACACACACACACACACACACACACACACACACACACACACACACACACACACACACACACACACACACACACACACACACACACACACACACACACACACACACACACGGATGCTTCTGGTGATATGGCAATATTTCAAACCAGCAAGCAAGGGCTCCTATAATGCCAGCTACCGATGACTGAAGATGTAGAAACAAATATGTCACTTACTATTGATTGATGGTTTAAAATGAGACAAATAAATGAGGTGAGGCAACAATGCTAATTATTAGTCTAATGAACATGACACATTTTGTTTATTTTGGATCAGTCCTACGCACACTTGTATGGCACTTGGTGTATTCATAAGCAGCAGAAAATAGTGCCCATAAAAATCACACTGTTATCCTGTTCGAGTGACATTTAATAAATTCTGCAGCACCAAGGTTACTTAACCCTTTAAAAAAAAAATGAAAGTATATACTTGTGAGCTTTTTTTTAATAGATTAAGTGTTCAGCATGAGGTAATGGGTTCAGCAGGGAATGAGAGGTGCATTGATGTTAACGAGTTTTGGTCTTTTCATGGAAGTTTTTTCAATAAAAATGTAGAATAATATCGGGATTATCCCTTCACCACTCATAAAGCAATGGTTTCATGTTGCCTTATTAAGAAGTACCCAGAGTCACACATACACACTTGTACAAAGTAGTGTTTGTTCATACATGCTATATTTTCATTTCAGCCATGACGCCAAGAATAGAGTGGAGTTCAAGCTTCCTGAAAATTAACTAATTACTTTCTAGTTAATAGCCGGCATACACAGTAATGATTGTTAAATGTCCTTTTGCGAATGGTGCCAAGAAATAGGCTGATTAATCTCTCACGTTTTCTTTCACTCCTCTCATATACACACACACATACACACACACTCTGACACACAGAAAGCGCTGAGCGGGTTTAAGTGGAGGCCCGTGCTGCTGAGTGTGTTTTTCTGGTAATGT